TATTTAGAGGAGTTTGCCGGGAAACCAAGGAATGTTTTCTGGTCAAGGTGACCGACCCTATTGGAAGCGATGATTGAACACATCAAGCCGGGAACCTAAATTGACTCCCATTGTTGGCGAGGATGCAATACTGAACAAATGGAGGAGGCCGGCTTTACCCATGCTCGTGTCAATAAGTACAACAAGTATGGAGAAACAAGAAGCATCGCGGCACGTCATTTCCTACCGAACTACCTCCTGAATTGATGATTCGAAAAGTGGGAAAGGACGATTTCTAGGAATGGGTGTTGCACAAATTGCTACGGCATGGATTGATCCCCATTGATTCCTCATGGAATAATAATCAGGGGTTAAAGTTTCTGAATAAAACTTCTGAACTTGACTTGCAATGTTTTCTGTAATTTTCAGAATCAGGAAGCAAGTCGCCGTTGTACCGGCAGACTATGTGAATGCTTTTTGGGAAGGAGACGCTTTCTCAGAGGACAACTACTACATGAGAACGGGTTTCGTTAGCTTGGAAGACGATAACTCTGTGCTGGAATTTGAGAATTATGTGATATTTGTGTTTCGTGGTGGCTTTCCGGAGAGATCAAAGCCTGATACAAAAGAAAGAATCAGGTCAGACGAGTGTTTATTAGGCTGGCTAATAAGTAATGGTGGATTTGCTGGGAGCTGGTCTCAAACTAAGCCAATCTTTAGTCTTATTCGAAAGCTGTATTCAAGAGGAACACAGTAGCGAAGACCATTTGTTGATTTTCAAATTTTTATAAGCGTTTAAGTGGTACTCAGTCAGCTTGGTACGCAAAAAAGTGTCAAAATCACATTTCAGGATCACTAAGTTTAGCTGGGCGGTTTGGCGACTCGTTGAGGCGAGAGTCGAGGGTTCGACTCCTAGCTGTGACCAAATTTTGAACTTTTTTTGCAAAAAGACCAAGCAAGGAGATGCCACAAAATGGTCTTAGCAGATATTGTTGCCGTTGAAATGCAAACGCCAAGCGGACACGGTGTATCTGATGCTGTATTCAGTTTTTGTCCATTCAAAAACACACAAGAAAAACGCATCCAAAGCTTGGGTGTCTACGCGGGAAAATCGTGCCGCGGGAACAAACATTTTTAGCCTAGGTTTAAGATGAAGAATAAGATGAAACACATCAACTTTGGTTTGGTTTGAGACCATCTGTCAGTCAATCCGTGATTGCTAGTTGGCCAGCCTAATATATGGGCTAGCTTGTTATAATGAAGGTCGGGTCGCAAACCCAAATACTTTTTCAAAAAATTCAATTAAAGGGGTTCGAATTTTAACAGTTCCTAGTGAACAGTTACGAAGTAAAATCAAAAGTACGTTAGGGTTAGGATCGGTCCTGGCTTTTTTCAGCCCTGTTTACAAGGGTTTGGAAAACTTCTTTACATTTCTTTGCTTTAAAACCTAAGCTGGCGATCACTGGTCAGAGTCAGAATTGAGATAATACTTTATTTTAGTCGTTACTTTCAAGACATTTTGATATGGGGAGGAGAACGACATGACGAGATCCAATCGCTAGCAGAGGATTTGTGGACTTATGGTGATAGCTGGGAAGGACGTGTCGACATTGTGACTGTTTTTCGAAAAGGAGCAAATCACAAAACGTGCACTTATCTCTACGGAGCATCTGGTGATTGGATGATTACTGAGGTGAAGACGTGGAGTCGGCCATGTGTACTTGGATGTGGAGATGTTTGTGTTGTGCATTTAACGGCTTGATATCTTTTGAATAAAGGAATACATGAAAAAGATTACAAGTAACGCAAGAAAGCAGAAAAAAGAAATGCGACCTTAAAACTAAGTCCCTTAATTTTAAAATGACTTTTCATGTAGTTGACATTTTAAGATTGAACAATAGTTACATTCAAATCTTTAAAATAATTTTCTGAATTTGATTTGATTAATTCCATTTAGATTCATCTAAAACTTAAAAATGTCTTCAAATAACCAGCAAAATCACAAAACGAGCAATGAAAATCTTTGTGCTTCTTCTTTTGACATCATGCCTGGTTATTGGAAAGGTTCAAGTAAGTTGGAGTAAGTCTTTCGTATGACTATTCCGGCACAATCGTATAATTTAATCCAAATGCCTTCAAATTGAACTTGTTGAGAATGTTCTCCATAGTCGCATTATCCATCGGCTTAATTGAGTTGTCGTATTGCTTTTTGCCGAGGATATTTTCCGTTGCCAGATGTTGCGTCACCTAAAATTAGACGTTGTGTGCTACAATTTTACGACATTGCAATTTGATGTTTCGCTTCCAAGAATTTCAGGAGCCCATGAGACCTCGTTTCTGGAATTCGGCCAGCAGGATCAACGAACTTGTCTAAAAGATTTTTTGTTTAAAGGAAGAAGCAACAAACTTGAAATGTAGATGATCATGATCGTAGCTCTTGCACCAAGGATTTTGCGTTGATTCTTTGCCTGAATAATAGATGATTAAGCCACTACTTTCAATTAAGACGACCTTGGCAAATAGATTTCCAGTTCGAACTTCATCGTCAAGATTTGTTGGCCCATTTTCGACTTCAAGTGAGCGAATTGTTATTCCTTTGCGGTCCGCTTCGATCTTGAAGCGCTCGGCAAATGCTTGAATTTGTGGTAGAACTCGTGGGTTTTCATTCCATGCAATGTAACTAAAATGAAAAGATACACTTGTGCAAATGCAGAGCGAAAAACGGTTTTTAATTGTAACTTAACATACAGCTTGTCCACAATAGCGCCCTCAGTGTAAGTTGCTTTTCCCTGTTTCCAGCCAGCTTTCTTTAAATCTGTAGGCACAGATCTCGATTCGCCCGATTGAACTTTCGGAGCAAGTCGACGGAAGCCAGTAACTTGGAAAGGCTTTGAATCAACAGAGATGCCAAATCTTAAAAGGTAACTTTAGACAACCTAAATATTTGATGGAACCTACCCAGCCATAATTGGAGAGTTCCTTGAAAGATCAAGCTCGTCGAGATGATTTTTGATCAGATTCCAACGATCATCGGGTTTTCTGGCCTTCTCTGGACTGCAGAGGAACTTCGTCAATGGGACACGCTGATTTGGTGCGACTCGTAGGACTTCAATCGGGAAGAATGAATCCTTGCCTCTTCCTTTTCCGCGTTGAACCACCACAGGCCACTTGGGAAACCTAAAGACAAACATTTTTCAAGCATCACTAAAGCTTACTGAATGCGCATTCCTTGTTTTTCATATTTTTCCAGCGATGGAATTACACGTCTGCTGTGCGGTGACATTGCCTCCGCACAATCAAAAAGCGTTCTGAAGCTCAGTCGACCACAATCGTGACGATTGAATGCTTGTGATGAACCGTGGCTAAGTCGAAATTCTCACGGAGAGACGCCCATTCAAATGTATCAACAATCCGAGTAAGCAATGAATATCTTTCTTAAATTTTTATCTTTTAGGATCGCCGGCGATTTGCGCATTTTAACTTCCAACTCTCCCATCGAGCGCGAGTCGAAATTTTGGATGAGGTGAGTTGGCTGCTCAATGGTTGTCTCCTGTGCTAGCTTTTAGATAGGGCCAGCTTACTATTAGTTTTATATCTATTGTTTCTTGTTAAATTTCATTTTGAGTGGTCTAAACGAAGAGCTCATTGAGGAACGTTTGAGGGATTCTAATTCGACAAGGGAAATTTGTGTCGCACTCGATGGAGGCGGGATCAAAGGAGCCGCCGAGATTATGGTTGGGGTTTTTCTTCATTCTCGAATTTGTCTAAACACTTTTTATTTAGAGGAAACCATAGGTTAATTGGTGAATTTGTTATTTTTCAACGGAAATACGAAGAGAAACTAAAAGACTTTCTGGACAGCCTAATATTATTCGCTTTAGGCTCTTCGAGAATTGTCTCTCCGCCTTTCATCAACTTCTCCATCAATCACTTCACTCTTCAAATCATTCGATTGGATTGGCGGAACGAGTGTTGGTGCGGTCATTGCTGCTTTTTCAGCTCCACGCCATCATGAAAATGGTTGGTTTTTTTGACAAGCTAGACATACATACAGTGGTCAAAAAAGTCTTGATGCCTTCCAAAAAATTAGCAAATTGAGTATCCAAAAGTATTGGATTCAGCTCGTTTTTGTTTCATTAGATTTCACAAAGGAGCGAATCGTTGAAGCTCGAAAAGTTGGACTCAAAGTCAGTGTGATTCAAAACCTCTTCTCCGTTTCGAAGATGACAATATGGAGGCTCTGCAATCGGATGAAAGAACGTGGAAATGCACCGATTAAAGAAAAAAGCCCGACAACCAAAAACAGCGTCTCGACAAGGCCGGGCACTTCGGAATTTCTTCGCCTCGGCGCCGGATTTTACAGTCACAGACGGGAAAAGTTACTTAAAAGGGGAATTTTGGATTGATGTAACTTCGCAAACGATTCGAAATCGACTGAAATTTCTCGGGTTGTTTTCACGACGATCTGCTCGTAAACCTTTGATGGTTCTTAGACACTGGAGGCTCCGTTTGAAATTCGCCCGCACCTACCAACATTGGTCGATCGATGACTGGAAACGTGTCTTGTGGAATGATGAAACTAAGTTCAATTTGTTCAACAGTAATGGCAACTACACCATCAAGAGACCCACTGCAACACGATACAACTTGAAATACATTCGACAGACTGTCAAATTCAATCGAGAAGTGATACTGTGTTGGGGCTGCTTTCGTCAAAGAAGACGTCAAAAGCATACAACTACCGACACTTCATTTAAACGTCAGTTTAGAGTTAAAGTGTAGATTGCTAATTGTTTTCTCACTTTAGGTGACGGGCGTGGGGATCTTCCCGAAAATGCTGCGGAAACTCTTCCAACTTAAAAACGAAACCGTTCAACCGATTTTCGTTTTGGATGATTGCTTGGTTTGTTTTATTAAAAACACATTATTTTGATGCTTATAGCTTGTGATTTTTCCTTTAGTTAAAGCCATCTCGACCCGATTATGATTATGTGGTTACGATTTGTCTTCCATTGCTTTTCATGTTCTTTTTCCAGGTTGATTTGGTTATTTTGCTGAAAGATTTACTTTTCTAGTTGATTGAATTCTTGCCGAAACGAGTGATCTTGTTCTGCTTCTTGCCCTATATGTTTCCCCGGAAAGCCCGTGCTCGTGTGATTTGGTTCTACAACTTGGTATGTTTGTTGGCAAAATCTTTTTTAAGTTAAACTACAAAAGACCCTAGATGAAAGGCTAACTAATTTTAATCAATAAAGATTCTTTAACTTTTTAGTGTTTGAAACATCGTTTGACTGCTCGTGAAGAGGCTCGACGACGCATTGCTTTCTTCGTCAAATGGCGAAAAGAACGAAAAGGAGAGAAAGATGAGGACGATGATGATGATTTGTGGTAAAGCTTTTGATATGGTGAATAAATTCATCTTTTATTTTAGCCTCGGTTTCGCTAAAAACTCATTGATACGCCGCGTGATCGTCGACAATTTGTACAGGCCATTTGAGTGTTTCTTATGTCAAGTAAGGTTGCTTTTCGGGTTATTTTTTCATTTCACAAATTTTAGACATATCTTCGCGCGTGGCAAACACACAAATGTGAACAATGCCCTGCCACATATTGCAAATTGTGTTGGAAAGAGCTGACGGAGAAATGCTACGCTTGTCAGGTACGTTTTAAAAGCTTTGTTTCGAACTTTACTCATCACATTGTTTTGGGTGGAACACCAAGAAGCTGCGATCGACCCGTAACAAAAAATAAATTCCATTAAGATTTTCCTGATTGTAATAAAGAACTTTTATTTTAGCCATAATAACAAACGGTAAAAGAAAATTGTTTCTAGAATGCAAATCATTTAATCAATAAAGCTTAAGAAAGTCAACAAATAGACTACTTCTCAAGCTAAGATTTCAACCTTTTGATGAAACTGGCGAGTTGATCGAGATCATGGCGAGCCGTCGTGCGGAGATAAACCTAAGCGAGTACTGTAAAAAGCTATTATGAATTGGATTTGGATATCTTTGGATTCTAAAAGACTATAGTGCTGATAAAAACGCGAAAAACAAACCATGACTCCCCACAGAAAATCGGCGACTTTCTCTGCATCAGTACATGTCAATGAAAGACGATTCTAAAATTGAATACAATTATTTCTTTCAAATCGTTTGAAAAAAATAACAAACTTACAATATTTGGCGGATTGATGCGAAAATAGGGACTTCTCGTAGCAAGACACCAAGCGGCTGCTTGATCAAGACATGCTGTGTCGCCGCTTGTTGACTAAAATGAAATGATTGAAATCGCCGGATTTTACAAAAAATACACGCACTTGGCTAACAAAAACGTCAAAGAGATTCTTCGTCGTGCGCATAAAATCTAAATTGAAATGATTGAAATGATTGAAAAAGGTAAAGTTCCAATAACTGTCCACTTGATAAAAACTTACGCCAATCGAAGAAAACGCGATTCTTCGGCAAATCTCCAAAATGAATTCCACTTGTGCGTCTCGCCTCGTTGTAGCCAGTGCCTAATGAAAGGAATAGTGAAGGAGTTGGATGGCGGACGGCTTTCTAAAGAATAAACATGATTCATAAACAACATTTCAGCTCACCGCATAGAATCGATGATATTCAGTCAAGAGGACGAGACTGGGATTCTTTGCGAGAACTCCTCCATCGGAGAGACCGAGTGGAGAGACGGGAAGTAGTAGAGGAGACGCTCTAAAACGATAAAGGAAAAATGATAAAGTTCAACAACGACAAAACAAACGTTGATGCCATAAGTGCGTCGACGATTTCCACCTCTCGATGATCCTCGTCTGTCTGAACTTCGATGGGGAAATTCCTGGAAATAAAAGTTTAGACAAAACATTGAAAAGTAAGACCGAAAAACGAGCAGTCTCGGTGGTATCATGGCTCCATCAACAGATGTGCAGACAAATCTGGAAAAAAACATGAATTACCGAATTAAAACTAAACGTCTTGTCGATATTCTTTTGATTCTTACTTTGCTTCGATATCGCCAAGCCGGGACGTTCCAACATGTTCGCGAAGAGATTTGTGGAGAAGCTAAAGAAAAGCTTTGAAAGAATCGGGAATGTTTAAGTTAACAAATTATACTTTAGAGTATAGTTAATCTTTAAGATCAATTCTAAGAAAATAAAGACCTCTCCCCGAAAAGAAGGTTTCTTGAGTTTCGGATGAAAGGTGGCGCGGGTTTCGGCGAGAAATGACCCAAGGTTTGTATCCGGCGACTGAGACCCTAAAAAGATAAAATTTTAAAACCATAGTCAACTTTCACACCTATGACCTAGATATACAGTGGTCAAAAACTCTTGATACCTTTCAAAAAATTAGCAAATTGGGTATCCAAAAATATTGGATTCAGCTCGTTTTTGTTTCATTAGATAAAACAGTAACATTGTTAATTGTAAGTTAGAAACTTATAATTAACAGAAAGTATACTCTTTACAAAAACTATTTATTTACGAAAAATAAAAAAAATGCAAAAAACAAAGCAAAAAAAGTCTTGATACCTTTTCAAAAGTTATTTATTTCTAACAAAATTCAGTATCGAGTTGGGCCTCCTTTAGCTTTTATAATCTCCTGAAGTCGGTTTGGCATACTTGCGATCAATTTTTCCGTGGTTTGTTGTGAAATTGAGCTCCAAATAGACTGAACCTTGTCCCAAAGCTCATTTTTTTGACGCAAAGCGGAATCCTCGCAATTTTCGTTTGACATGTACCCAATAATGTTTAATAGGGTTACAATCCGGTGAATAGGGTGGTGTTCGCAGCAAATTGACATTGTTGAGCCGAAACCAGCAATCTCACAAAAGCTCGAGGTCGGATCTTCAGTTTTTGTTCCAACATCAATTCACTTGTATGCGTAGATCCCCACCCTGCTGGTATAGCCAGTTTGGACTCATTGCTACATTTGCGTAAGGAAGCATATCATTTTGCATCATATCCCGATATTTCACACTGTCCATGAATACATCTATGAGGATTAGAGGTCCAACTAAGTTTGAAGAAAAACATCCCCAACACAGTATCCCTTCTCTATTGAATTTGACAGTCTGTCGAATGTATTTCAAGTTGTATCGTGTTGCAGTGGGTGTCTTGATGGTGTAGTTGCCATTACTGTTGAACAAATTGAACTTAGTTTCATCATTCCACAAGACACGTTTCCAGTCATCGATCGACCAATGTTGGTAGGTGCGGGCGAATTTCAAACGGAGCCTCCAGTGTCTAAGAACCATCAAAGGTTTACGAGCAGATCGTCGTGAAAACAACCCGAGAAATTTCAGTCGATTTCGAATCGTTTGCGAAGTTACATCAATCCCAAATTCCCTTTTTAAGTAACTTTTCCCGTCTGTGACTGTAAAATCCGGAGCCGAGGCGAAGAAATGCCGAAGTGCCCGGCCTTGTCGAGACGCTGTTTTTGGTTGTCGGGCTTTTTTCTTTAATCGGTGCATTTCCACGTTCTTTCATCCTTCGAAACGGAGAAGAGGTTTTGAATCACACTGACTTTGAGTCCAACTTTTCGAGCTTCAACGATTCGCTCCTTTGTGGGACTGTCGATGTATTGCTTGCACGGCATCTCTAAAAAGAAACAATATCAAAAATTAGCAAAGCTCTAACGTAAAAAAAAAACAGGAGAAAAAGAGAAAAGGTATCAAGACTTTTTTGCTTTGTTTCTTTTATTTTTTATTTTTTGTACATGAATAGTTTTTGCAAAGTGCATATTTTATGTGAATTATAAGTTTCTAACTTTGTTTTATCTAATGAAACAAAAACGAGCTGAATCCAATACTTTTGGATACTCAATTTGCTGATTTTTTGAAAGGTATCAAGACCTTTTGACCACTGTATGTATGGTCTAGCTTGTCAAAAAGCCAACCATTTTCATGATGGCGTGGAGCTGAGAAAGCAGCAATGACCGCACCAACACTCGTTCCGCCAATCCAATCAAATGATTTGAAGAGTGAAGTGATTGATGGAGAAGTTGATGAAAGGCGGAGAGACAATTCTCGAAGAGCCTAAAGCGAATAATATTAGGCTGTCCAGAAAGTCTTTTAGTTTCTCTTCGTATTTCCGTTGAAAAATAACAAATTCACCAATTAACCTATGGTTTCCTCTAAATAAAAAGTGTTTAGACAAATTCGAGAATGAAAACGTGTTTTCGTAAAAATCGATAAAAACCTCTACGAAGAAATTGGCTGAAAGAATTTCTCTGAAGGCTTTCAACCAAAAGACAAACGGGCAACCAAGAATTGTTTTTGCACGCTTCCAAAAAAATCCAGACATTGACAAAACCTGTTTTAATGTTATCTTGCAGAAAAATAATTGGTCTTTCTAATGAAAAAGTTCAATTGGTGCATTTGTTGGTTTTAAACGGAAGTACAAAAAGGAACAAAAAGACTTTCTGGACAGCCTAATCTACCATTTATAGGCCAACTAATTACGCCAATTTTTATAGATTTTGGATCATATTAAAGGAGGCTTGCTAAAAAAATCTTCATTAAAACCTCCAACCATAATCTCGGCGGCTCCTTTGATCCCGCCTCCATCGAGTGCGACGAGAATTTCCTTTGTCGAATTAGAATCCCTCAAACGTTCCTCAATGAGCTCTTCGTTTAGATCACTAAAAATGAAATTTAACAAGAAAAAATAGATAAAAAACTAATAGTAAGCTGGTACTATCTAAAAGCTAGCACAAGAGACAACCATTGAGCAGCCAACTCACCTCATCCAAAATTTCGACTCGCGCTCGATGTCGAAATTGGAAGTCAAAATGCGCAAATCGTCGGCGATTCTAAAAGATAAAAATTTAAGAAAGATATTCATTGCTTACTCGGATTGTTCATTCATTTGAATGGGCGTCTCTCCGTGAGAATTTCGACTTAGCCACGGTTCATCACAAGCATTCAATGTGCAAATGAGACGAGCACATCGACGAGCGTTCAACTAAAAAAGTACAATTTATATTGAATCTGTTAAAGCACAGCTCTAAAAGTGCGCTTTAAACTACCTTACAACTAACTACCTATATACTCATTATTAATAAGACCACCTTGATAACCAGGTGTAACATCGTGTTCCCTTCATCGTCTGTTTGTTTGAGAAAGTTTTGATCTAAAACAAAAGGAAAAGTTTGAAAAATAAAACAAATAACCTTTGCAGAATCGCTCGAGTATTTCACCGGCAGCATCTCGTGAGAGGATTTCTTTCAGCGAGATGTCGGATGCCTGAAAATGATCAAGATCAATGTTTTAATGAACTTTATCGTTAGCTATTAAAGTAGCAATTAGGCAAGGCAGCTATAAATCCAAAAGCACTTGAAAAGTAGTAGTAAAAACCTTTGAAACGAGACGAAACCGGGGCCGGACTGGAGCGATCGATTTCGGGAGGCGAACGGCGAGCTTGCTAAACAAAAAACATTTTGTAAGCTTCATAAACTTTAGTTCGCATTAACTTCATTCTATACGATAAAACTTTTAAATTCATAAACCCTTACAGTCTTTCGGAGCGAATTCGCTGAAAAGAGGCGAATTTCGTGATGAAGAAAGCCCTCAACGAGTAGGCACTGACGACTTTCTGAAAAAAGCTGCAAGTTTTGAGAAAAACACAAGAAAGAAAGCAAAAACAAACCTTAAATTCGACACGCATTAGTTAGAGAAAGCTAACGAATTTTGAAAGAATTGAAAATCTATAAATACGTAATTTTAAAAGTTTTTTACATACAAATTGTTGAATGGTTACGATAACGCTTAACACGAGCAGGAACCTAGACAAAATAGCGCCCATACAAAAATAGCCCCAATTTGAAAAAGACCGCGATTAGATTTTTCGACTCCAATGTGTTTATACTTCTCATAACAGCTTGTAACTCTTGTAACTCTTTTTTAAAATGTTTTTAAGCACCTTTTGCGTTTTTTGACAAACCGACGGAATATTTCATCATCAGAATCATGTTCTATGGCTCATTTTAAATAAACAATGCGGCACATTTTGTTTTTCATCTTTTTTTTCTTGTTTTTACTGTTCTTGGTACTTAATTTTGTGTTTTTCAGAAAGAACTTCTCCAAAAGAACGTCACCTGAAGAAATAGAAGCCTTCTACTCTTCAACGACAACGAACAACAAAATGTGCCGCATTGTTGGGGGTGGAACAAATGCGACCTTTTTTGCGCACCTTTTTTTTCGCTGAAAAGGCCGTAGAGATTCAAAATGTTTTCCTAATAGGGAATCGTATGGGCAGATTCCGAATTTCGACAAATCAAACCTCGCTGACACGTCAAATTTGGGCTAAAAGGCAAAAACTACGCAACTTAACGCTTTTTCGCAGCTTTTGCCTTTTAGCCCAAATTTGACGTGTCAGCGAGGTCTGATTTGTCGAAATTCGGAACCTACAAATACGATTCCCCTATATGAAAACATTTTTGAAGCTCTACGGCCTTTCCCAAGGCCTTTTCCAGCGAAAAAAGGTCGATTTGTCCCACCCCCGCATTGTTTTAAATCTTTTAAAAATAACAAAAGTTGTTTGTGAATTACCCAAGTTTGAGATTGATGTTGCGTAAGAGATTCGACGCGATATTCGACGGTGAGATGTCTTCTGGCTATCATCCGCTCCACCCGTTGCCACCGCCACGATGGAGTCCGCCCGACTTTTCGTTTGACGTCGGACTGGCCAAGCAGCTCGACTCGTCCTACCACGTCGTCATCGAAGGACTGCCTGAAGCGGTGTTGTGCTCCGTGATGGACCCGATGACAAGGAGAAACGCTGACCGATGGCTTCTCGAGGGGATCCTGACGGCGTATGGGCTCGACGCAATCGTCCTCCACTCGTACCGTATGGGTATTTACAATCTCGTCCGTCCAAGGCCTTTCAAAGTCGTCCTCGCCTCGTCGCATGCCTCGTCAAACCTCATCAAATCGTTTGCTGTCCACCCAAAGTCTTCGCTCCCGTGGTATGCCCGATTTTGTGTCATTCGTGGATCGGATCCTTCGCGATACAAGCAGAAGTCACATGCCGCCGTCGCTGCCGAAGAGGCTATCGAAATCGCTGCAGACAAAAGGAATTTAGCCCCGTGCAACTCAGTCATCTCCGGTTCCGAGAAGAAACGAGGAAGGCCAAAAGGATCTGGGATGAATGAGAAAAGAAAACACAGTCTTGAAGTAGCCAATGGAGTGAAAAATGGCCAAGGATCTTTTGTGAAGCGCAAAATGGTATCCAGAAATGGGACAGGAGGAGCGATCATCGCAAAGCTGCCTACCACGAACACGCCGAACACGAGCCCAGCAGCAAAATTTACCAAGATGGAATCACAAGACTCGCAGCTCCCTTTCCTAGAAATCGACTCGCCCACTCCAGGATAAGCTCATTTCCCCCCGTAACGTCTGTTTCGTTTCTCTTTGCAAATGTTCACTCAATAATTTCACAAAAACGCCTTAGTTACGTGCAATTTTTGTCCAGATCTCTCTCTTACGATGTTCTTGCCTTTTGTGAGACCTGGCTGACTGAAAACACTACATCTTCTATCTTAGACCCCGCCTCTAACTATTCCATAATTCGTTGTGACCGTATTTTTAATGAGATCAAAGTTCGAGGTGGTGGCGTTATCCTATTCATTCGCCGTTCTTATAACTTTATCCCTGTTACTAGTCAATCAGTCTCAGGTTGCGAGATAATCATTGTAGATATATTCGCTCATTCAGATTCCCCTTCGCGTATCTTTATTGTTTATCGTCCCCCACATGTTAACAACCAGGATTCTTTCCATCTTTTTACATTTCTTGAAGATCACTTGCTACCAAATCATCCAAATTTCCTTCTTGGCGATTTTAATTTTCCTTTAACTGTTTCTCTAGGACTTTTACCTAATTTATCGCGTTTTCCACATTTAGAAAACTTCCTGTCAGCCAACAGCTTAGAAATTTTAAACAAATTCCCTACTTTCAGGAAAAGTTCGCATATTTTAGACCTAGTTTTAACCGATTCCCCTCATTTAATTTCAGCTATTTCACCATGTCCTCCCATTGGTGGTGCCGACCATTTTTCTATGTCTTTTAATTTAATTCTGCATCATTTTACCTCTCTAAAAGGATCGGATGATGGTAACCGTGCCTTTTGGAGAGGTAATTTCGGTGCTGTCTGTCTTTCTTTAGCGCTCTACAATGCAAGGTTTCTTCCTCGATTGGAGACGGACATCAACGAGTGTTATGCTGACTTCTTTGAAGAGATGAAATCGCTGTTGGACGAAAATGTACCTATTTCAACCAGGTCTACCTTTTCTTACCCCAGTCACATATCTCGAGCTAGGCAAAGGTTAGAAACAGCTTGGCGTTATCGCGATTCCCCCCATTACGCATATCTAGAAAACAAGCTAGCTAAGTTTGTGAAGAAATTCGAGGCCAATATTGAACGGAAAGCCGTTTTTAGTCCTAGTCCCAAAGCTTTTTACTCATACGTCTATTCTAAGATTAACCCAAACCACGATTCCTCTATTAAATGTATATTTGACCCCCTTCGCAACTCGTTGATTTTCGAAAATCACAAAATTGCTAATTCCTTTGCTCAATATTTCTCCAGCGTTTTTGTAGTTGACGATGGTAGTTGCATACCTGTTCTTCCCACCCCAGCACATACTTGCGCAGCCCTAATCGTCACACCAAGACTTGTCGAAACAGCAATTAGTAAGCTTAGCAATAAGATTTCTTACACCCCAGACGGAATTCCCTCTTTTGTTATACGGAAAACTAAGTTTCAAATATCACCACTACTTGCTAAACTTTTTAATCTGTCACTTCTAACTGCTAAGATCCCTAAATTTTGGAAAGACTCAACGATTTCGCCACTTTTTAAGAAAGGAGATCGGAACGCGCTTGCAAATTATAGACCCATCGCGCTCACCTCCTCCATTTGTAAAGTCTTAGAAATAATTATTCGCGACCACATTATTCACTATCTAAATGAACATAATCTAATTGATAAAAATCAATTCGGCTTTCTCAAAAACCGCTCTACCTCCGACCAGCTAGTTCTCTGTGCGCATGACTGGCTTCTAGCTAAAGCCAAAAACGATCAAACTAGCTGCGTTTTCATTGATTTCTCCAAAGCGTTCGATTCTGTTAATCATAGATTTTTAATCGCCAAACTAAATTCACTAGGTCTCCCCCATATCCATCACTAATTGGATTGCAAATTGGCTTACCGAAAGGACATTTCGCGTCCGCTTAGGCTCTACTTTTTCGAAGGACTTCCCCATTAGTAGCGGAGTGCCCCAAGGGAGCGTTCTTGGTCCTCTTCTTTTCCTTATTTATATTAATGACATTAACAGTTCGATCTCCCTAGGCACAAAAGTCCGACTCTACGCCGATGATCTTAAAATTTATAGGGTACTTCCGTCCCAGAGCCCCATCCCCTGATTTTACCCTTCTCCAGAAGGATCTTGATTCGATCCTTCTGTGGAGTAAATCCTGGAAACTTAACATTGCGCCGGACAAATGCAAACACGTTACATTTGGTTCATTACATATCCCTTTGAATTTGGGGGACCTACAATTACCACAAGGATTGGCCGATGATCCTGTAAAAGACCTTGGTATACTGTTAGTTCCCTCTCTAAAATTTGACCCTCACATAAACTACATTTCCAAAAAAGCTTCTAGAATTTCTAACATAATACTTCGCGCCATTTGTTTCCCTAAAATCGCGACTTATCGCAGGGCTTTTATAACCTATTGCCGGCCTTTGCTCGAGTATGCCACCATCGTATGGTCACCTTCCATTAAGAAACTTATCACCTTGGTTGAAAATGTACAACGGCGTTTCACTAAAAAAGCATACACTCGTTGTTTCCCTTCTTCTCTTATTCCAAATTATGAGACTAGACTTATAGTTTTCGATTTAAAACCCCTTTTATATCGCCGTATTTACTTTGATCTGATTTTCTGCTATAAAATCCTTTTCCACCCTAAGGCGCATCCGGAATTTCAAAGTCTCTTGAAAATTGTGGAAAGTCCTAGAAGAACCCGTAGTCATCCTTATCAAATTTCGCTCGGTTCTCATCCCCACCACCTTTCCCTTTATCATTCTTTCGCGAACCGTATTAGTAGGGTTTGGAATAAGCTCCCGCCTGGTATCTTCTCGTCTGTAGGAAAATTCAAAGTATCTGTAAACGAATTAGATCTAATTGCCATGTCAAATCTGCCTTATATTTAATCTTTTTGTACCTGTTTTTCCTGACTATCGTCTTACTGTATCTCTAGGTTTCTTTCTTTTTTTTGTGAAAGTATTGTAGCAATTATATGCGGTTATGATTATCTGATTCGCTTCTATTCGCCCTCCTGAATAAAGCATATATAAAATGTGCCGCATTGTTGGGGGTGGAACAAATGCGACCTTTTTTGCGCACCTTTTTTTTTCGCTGAAAAGGCCGTAGAGATTCAAAATGTTTTCCTAATAGGGAATCGTATGGGCAGATTCCGAATTTCGACAAATCAAACCTCGCTGACACGTCAAATTTGGGCTAAAAGGCAAAAACTACGCAACTTAACGCTTTTTCGCAGCTTTTGCCTTTTAGCCCAAATTTGACGTGTCAGCGAGGTCTGATTTGTCGAAATTCGGAACCTACAAATACGATTCCCCTATATGAAAACATTTTTGAA